GTGTGTGATTTTTATTATTGAATAAAATTTTATTGTTCATATTACTATTTCTTGGTTGTGTTGTATTTTTCTTCGATAGAAAACACACAACATTTTTATCTGAGTTGATTATAGAAAAACTGTAAATTTTACTTTTTTTGTAATAGACAAAAAATTAAACTATTTAAAACATAAACAAAGAATATACAATCGAATACAGACACATTTGCCTTGAGAAGTTGTATTTTTTGAGTTAACTTCTTGATAGTAATAACTGAGGAGTATCGGAAAAGACATTATTTGAGTGAGAATGTCTGGAATAAAAAATCGCTTGAAATCTGTTTCTCGTCTTTCATTGGAAGATTTCGGGAAAAAATTCTGTTTGACAGAGGCAATGATTCAAGTCAGATATCTGTGAACTTTCCATAGCCTTAGGTCATCAAACAGTCTTCAATTTACAGAAACCTAAATGAGAGTTTTTCTGTCGTTTTTATTGAAAATTTCAAGGTTGCCCTTATAGTTAACGCTTTAGACTTCGTGTAAATCGAATGCAGTTCAATGAAGAAAGGTTATGCAGAGATTGGGAACATCTCATTTTTCTAAACATAAGTTGATCGAATGTTTTTATAGATCTTGGTTTTTCCGACACCTTCATCCAAACAATTATTTTGCTATTAGCATCGAGAAGAAAACTAAAAGAATACAACTAAACTTTTGTTTGCCACTATAGATAGAAAAATGGAAAAACATTCTCAATTAAATCGTTTCAAAGAAAAAAAAAACTTTGATTTTATTAATAATTAACATATTATTCTGAAGTTTTCATGAAGAGCAATAATAGATAAAAGTTCAATTTTTCGACATGTTTGTCATATGAATCATTTGTTTATTTATTTTAAGCCAAGTAACGTAGTATATCATGTTCATTTGGGTGTCGTTCAATATATTCTTTTTCAATTACTATGTCAATACATTTCTAAAATAAAAAATATTCTTCGATTAAAAATTTTTAATATAATTATAATAGAATTTACTTTGATCATCGGTATTCTCAGTTCGAAACGTGAACTTAATTGTTGAATAACTTCCTGTACTAATAATACATATTTTAAAGTTTGTCGAGCTTTCATTATTCGAACAATTGCAGCTTGAATAATGGCTCTTCGATCATCATCAATTGTTCGATATAAATTTTCATTGTCTTGTTGTTCGATTGATTTGCATGGTACATTTAAATTTAATCGTATTTTTTTACTAAAAAAAACAAAATTTAAGAATTTTTAACATTGATTCTTGAGATGCAAGTTAAAATTTTCATATGATTATTGATAGTATAATTGTAACTGTTGATCTTGTATGGGCTCATAGAAAAGAACTATCAAGATGTCTGCTAAGGATAGTTTTGTGAAGTATTTTTCGCCCGCTATTGGTCAAATATTAATAATTGCCGATAGTAATATGCAAGTTTTATCTAGTGAAGAATTGTAATTGAAGGTATTAGTCTTAGAAATAGCACCTATAGTAAGTATTAAAAGTCTTGTTTTGTGTGCTTGTTATAGTTACACAATACCGCATATAATCACTATAGTAACCTACGAAACTAGTTCAACCTCTTATGATTTTCTTGATAGTTTAAGTGTAATTAAATGCCGTAGTATTCTAGTATTTTTGCTCGAATTTAAATCGAAAAATCTGGAGATTAAACTAGAAGTCTATATAACAGTGCTAGCTGAAAGCTATATTCTTTTGTTATAAGTAGAATAGTCTATATTTATGATTTTATTGTTTTCTATATCATTCGTTATAGTCAAATATGTTCTATTTTATTAATCAATTTTTCGTTAGTTATCACATCCATATATTAATTTCGTTTCTTTTTTACAACGTTTTGTTTTTTGGTTCTTTTTAATAATAATATTCTTGTCTTCTTTTGTTTCATAACTCACTGATTATGATTTTCTCATTGTTCGATTTTTCTTACTCATTAAAAATTTATTTCCTAAAATTCAAGTGAGATCATAAGTAGTCTATCATATTACCACAATCAAAATATTGTTTACGATTTCTTATTAAAAATAAAATATTTTTTTTAATGATTCTGTAAATTCATACAAAAAAAAAATATACTGACCTACGAAAATTTTCATTTATATAAATAGTATAATTCATTTTAATATAACTTTCATTAAAATCTTCATCAAGTTGATTATGATTGACTTCAGAACATGTAATCAATTTACTTTTCAATAAACTATAAAGAACTTGCAAGAATAAATCAATTTTGATTTGTGTTTTATCTTGCATTTGTTCAACTGTCCAACTTGAAAATTTATTAAATAGAAGTAAAATAGCCATTTGATATATTGACACCTTTTTTGTATTTTAAAATAATAATAAAATTATTTTTTATTTTTCAATATTTACATTTAGAATATATTTTTTGTCAGTGTACAATATTTGTAACTCTCCTTTGGAGTGTTGATGAAGCCATATCAACTTACGTGCATTATGTTGTTCCATATAAAACTTCGTGAAACTGTCAAATGTTTTTTTAAGCTAAAAATATACGATAGCAATAGATAATAGTGAAAAAAAATAACACATTACTTCAATTGGTGTAATAAAATTTGATGATGCGGAATATGACAACGAATTTGACCTGCGAATCAACACAGTAAAACCGACTTTAATGAAAACAAAAAAAAAAAGAAAAACGTATGATATATAAATTTAGAAAAAGATTCAGTTTAAAATATTGATACCAATATCATCAATCTTCTCTTTTTCACAATACTTTCGATATTGATCTAATAATGTTTTACTAACGTTATCATCTTCAAGTAATTTTTGTAATTTTGATATATATGTCAAATCGCATACATTCTGAAATAGGCATTTAATAGAAGTTTGTTACAATGATAAATAAGTTTTATTTACTTTTAATCTTAAAATCATTGATTCTTCATAATCATTCGATGCACTTAATTTACCTACTAAACGTTTACCTAACATTTTACCATAAAATTTTTCGAAAACATCTTTATCTTTAATATAATTAAAAACTATCTAAATTAAAAAACTAAACCAAAAATAATAACAATAGAAAATAATACCATAATCTGATCTAGTTCTCGTTCAATTTCACTTCTAAAAATTTTCATTGATTATAATTTAATAGTAAATGTCAATCTAAACAAACCCTTTTCTTAAAAGCCTATCACAATATCGAGCTAATAATTCAGCTGGTTTTCTTGCATTATCGGTAGCTTCTGTTAATACATTATTATTAATAAAATTTCTACAAGTCTAAATATACAAGATAATAAATGAGATTATTTTGAAAATATTCTATTTACCTTATCAATAGCAGTAATAAAATGTTCGTCATTATTAAAAAAAATTTGTGCAACTTTGTAGAATTCATTATGAATATTAAGAATTAATTTAACATACTCTGTCGGAGCCTTAAAAAAAGGAACAAAGAGAAATAAGTATAATTATAAGATAGGATAGTAAATTAGTTTTTACATTAATTGCAGTGATATTGATTGGTTCGATAGATTCAATAGCTTTTGGACGAAAATTTTCTTCAACAATTTTTTTCAATTCAACGATCGTATTTGGTACTCGACCAACTAATTTGAATAGAAATGCGAAATCTAACAAAAAAATAATAAATCATTTAAAATCGATTATATGAAATTCTCTAGATTAATTATGTTGAAAAATTTTTTTTTTCTATATACCTGAATAGTTTTCATTGTGTAAAAGTATTTTTGCTTCAGTATAGATTGCTTCAAGTTGATCAAGAATAAATATTTGTTCAAGTATTTTAATTAAAGGTGCTGATGTTGATGAATGTAAATATGATTCTATTCGATGTAATTCTTCATCAATCCATCGTGGTATCTATTAAAATTAAGATTAAATATATTTTATCATTTTTATAAAGAAATACAAACTTTTCTCAAGTATTCAGACATTGAATTGTGAACAAGAAAATTAGCTGCTTCCTGACGATAAAATTGTTCTGTATATTGAAGAAATGGTACTTCCATGTAATCTTTGTAAATTTTCAATGTTGGAGATGTTATTTGATGACTATTATTTGATACAGATGAATTTTCCTGGAAGCCAAGTTCGACTAAAATTTTTCACATAAATTTCAAGAAAAAAAAAGAATCTTGATCTTTACTATAACTTTGTACAACTGCACGAATTAATCGAGTATTAATAATTTCATTTTGACGTTCGGTATTGATTAATTGAAGACATGGTAATGTTATTTGACTTTGCAATGGTTGAAAGAAAACAAGCTGCCAAACTTCCATCGCCATCTCAGATTATATTAGTTTTATAATTAATTTGAAAGGATAAAGAATCTAACTTTACTTACAGTGAAAACTTCATAAACATTTCTTCTTCCTAAATCATGCATTCGTCGTACCCAATGTCGATTTAGATAGTGGCAAAAGCCATTTATTACTTTACTTGAAAATCGATAATCTTCCCAGTTTGTAGCATAGAAACGAAGTAAACTTTCATCTTGTAAATCAAATCCTTTCTACAAATAAATATGTCATCATTAAAAAACAATAAAAGTAACTCAATATTAGAAATAAAATAAATTTTGAATTAATATACTATCTATTGCAAGTCGCAATAGAACCATCAAAGATTGAACATGAAAGAGTACGACACGAAGATAAATCATATGTTTGATTGTTTACTTCGTTACCTATTTTAGTTTCAGGCTCAACATGATTTACTCATTAACTAATAAGATAATCGTTTCTAGGTAAAGAAAACTGATAAATTACACTCAAACGAGAAAGGTAAGAGGCATCATTACTATGATTCTCGATGTTTCTACCACGATTCATAGCTACCCACGGAAAAAAATTCTAACCAATACCGCTGTCAACCGCGGTTTTTTTTAAAGACCGCTGGTTTTTCCTTATAAACCGCGGTTTGATAAAAAAACCGCAATTAACCGCGGTTTGTTACACTGCGGTCACAACTTACCGCGGTTTGCTCAAACAAGGCCGCAGTTGCTTCTACCGCTGAAAACCGTAGTTCTAGAAAACCTCGGTATGTTCAAAACGAATTGCGGTATCTCAGACCGCCATTTTTCACGATTTTATATTTTGCGAAAACCTTCTTATAAACCGCGATTTCTGAATACCTTTGAAAGACACGATAAGTCAAACCACAATAATCGCAGTCTCTCAGTCAAACATCTTACAAGCAAGGTCTTGAAATCTTTGGATCGATAAGCAAGATCATGAAAAGATAATTTACATGTGAACAGTTTGCGCAAGTCGGATACATATGTGTCTTATTTCTTGTTAAGATCATGGAAAAGATATCATTTACTACTATCTTATCACAAGATCTTGAGTAAAAGAACGATATCATTAGTATTTATGTAGTGACTAGTCATTCACCCTTTTTTTTGTGTATGTAGCGCTGTATATAAACAACGTGATTGAACATACGAAACGTACATTTTTCAAAATGAATTTTCTTCTAAACTCTTTCTTGACTATTAATCATTCGAGAAAATGCCGATCTCAATGACTAATCGAGAAAGAGCTACCAGAAGCCGTCTGATGGTTATCGAACCATCTCAAGAACAAGCAGGTTCCAAGATCGGGATTGCTTCAGTCGTTCGGAATAGGAATAATTAAAATGAAGATAAATTGAAAAAATTTCATAACATGCTTTTACTGAAAAGAAATAATATGTTATATAATAGATTTGAACCACGCTTTGAGATTGTATCACGGATTGTGTTGCAACTCACGAGACCTGCAACATTGTTTATCTTAGTAAGTATTTAAGATCTTATAGATCGATACTTCAGCTCTTATACATCTGTATCTAAGATCTTATGAATCTGTACCCAAGATCTTACATGTCTATACCCAAGATCTAATTCGAGATCTTGCTACAAGATAATCATATTATCTAGTACCTAAATTTTCAAGATCTGTCCACTTTTCTGTACCTAAGATCTTGATCAAGATCTTGCTTACAAGATGTTTGACTAGGACGATACCCGGTTTTTCCACGCCACCTGTTTTCATAATCTGCTACCGCATTTTTGATCGATGGAGTCGCATTTCGATAAAATATTGCTTTTTTATTAGACAGAAACTTTCTGATTAATATTACAGTTCGACTCTATAAAGCATTGTTGTTGCGACAAAAAGTTTTGAAACGCAATAACAATTACCTAATGGGACGAATCATGACATTTGGATTAGGGTTTTCATTTCTGTTAATTTAAAATAAATTTAAATTACCAGTAATTCATTTTTTAATTTTAAACTATGAAGAAAAAAAAGTGAAATTTTTTCCAAATTTAAATTACTGGTAATTTAATTTATTTATAAGTAAAATTGGCATACCTACAACGAATAGTTCGCGAAAAGTTTTTCAAAGTCTCAATTGAGAAAAGAATTTAAAGCATCTCGCTAACCAGAAACTCACTTTTGGCTCTTCTTTAACAACTCATATTGATACCAAGTACGATCCTTTGGTAGATTAGCTCCTGTTTGTTGAATAAAAATTCTAATACATAGTTTTAGATAAATGTAATGTTGAAATAGAATAAATTAATTTTCAATTTTAGAAATTACAAAATTAAAATGATTTAACTTAAAAATACCTAAATTTATTATAATAAACATTTATTTTAAATTTAAATTGCTCAGCTTAATTTAATGTATGAGGAAATATAAATAGACACAATTCGTTGCAATTAATGCAAATAATTATTTAAAAATATAACAATAGCACAGTTAAATTTAAAGATTTTAAAGAGATCCTCTATTTTGTCGTTTACACTATTATCTTAGACTTTTTAATTTAAATAAGAAAGAGTATTGTATTTGATGCTTCTATGAACATCGCCATATGGTTCAATGGAATTATGGAACTATGATTATAAGGTAAGGAGTTCGAATCTCACTTGAAGCAAAAAAAAATTACATGATCCGTGGTATTATATAGGTAGACCGCGGTATAAGATTACCGTAATGAGACCGAAGCTGCACCGCGGTTTCTTCAAACTGCGATTTCAGACGGTGTGTATAAACCTAATAAACGGTCTGACTCCCGCGGTTCGTTTTAACCCGTCAGAAACGCAACTCTTTAAACCGCGATTAGTAGCGGTATTTGTTGAAAAATTTTTCCGTGGGTAGTACTGGAATAATGTTGTTATAGGATGAAGTTAAAATTCACTTTATGACTATTCTAGCATAATTCCTTAGTTCTATGTAAATCAATAACAACAATATTAAAGCTTGTGCAACGTAGGAAATGGAAAAATCTCGCGAAATACATCAAATCATAGGTAAAAGTAAAATGATAATTCTAACATTGTTAATTGCATAAAATTAGAAAAATTCTTTTCCTTTGCAATAGTATGTGGTGCAACATAATTTTTTAAAATGTATTTTTAATCCTTTTATATTAAATAAAAAGGAAAGAATGAATCTTTTTTTTTAAACATTGTGTCATTAGTGATTTGTTTCAATTCACTCTTTTGAAAATAGAACACACTGAACTAGGAATGTATATATGTATCCTATACTCCTGTAGTATTCGCTATTTCTTCGTGGTTGAATGTATATTTTTTTTTTATATTGATACATTAGTTTATATAGAAATTTAAAATATTTTCTTCCCATTCTCTTTTACATAACAAGATAATGTTCATGATCATGAATCTATTTTAGCAGCAGATTATTGTTGTTCAAAAAAACAACATAAGCTTTCACTTTTACAGACATTTTAATTAAGATTTCTTATAGTCTTATAATTTAATAAATATTAATTACTCTCTCGAGCAACATAATCTTACTTCAAAAATTTCTTCCACGTAAATTTTTAAATAATTTCTCAATTTGATATATAGTTCTTCACCAATAATATTAGCTCCATCATGTACATTATTTTTTCGATTATTTTTAGTGGGTTTTCTAGGTATTTCTGATCCAAAGCTTTGCGGTTGAGTATTTGTACAATAATTATAAATCACACTATAAAAAAAGATTTCAATATTGAAACAGAAAACAAAAAAAAAGGAAAGATTGAACTTTTATTTACCGATAAATTTCGACATATTCTGTAGGTAGCATTTCTTTAGTTCGATAAACATGTTCAAGACCTTCCGATACTTTTATCCAAACATCATTAAAATTAAAATGACGATCTAAGCATGACATTTTCTTTTCAATCAATATCTATGAATACAAGAACAATAGTATTAAAGTCATGTACGTTGTGAATAAATACTAGATGGTGTACGAGCTTTACTTGTAGTTCGAGATCACCTTGAAATACTTCGAGTTTCTAATATCAAAAGATCTCCAAAGTCATTTAAAACCTCTCTAAGACTCAATTCTGAGAACCTCATTATTATATCAATACCATGATTGACGATTACTATTAAATCAAAGTAGTTTTCTTCATTTTTTTTATATAATAAACCATACAATTCTACTAGTTTAATTTCTTACACCCAGTGAAAAATCGTATCAAGTAGAATACTTTTATGTATTATACTTACATTGATGTATATATGGTGTGTATGTTTTTATTTGATAATGGTTAGATTAAATTTTTAGTATCTTTATGTTTTACTGTCCTAAATCCCTTTATCTATCTCTTTACCGATATATTTATGTTATAGAAAAAAAAAGGTCTATATATAAGATATGAGGAACATATAGGAAAAAACCAATAAAAAAAGATAATAAAACCGAAAAAATACATGAGTCATTAGATCACAATAACGTAGGCAGTAATAAAGAGAATAGTGGAAAAACATATCTGAGAGAACGAAAGAAGAAATATAACTATAGTTAATAATATGTGTATGGGAAGAAAAAAAAAAGAAATAGAACAAACATGTATAATAATACCATAAAACACATATTTTGTGGTATGTTTACATACTTTCTATAACATATATTAAGAGAATCGAATATTCAGTGAGTTTCGAAAATATAATTTATCTCATCAATTGAAAATTTAATTCACAATTAATGCACATTTTTTTTAGAGAAATAAATTAAATTGATATTGCTCACACTATTGATTCAAAAACGATTTGAATGTCTTCCATAAAAACATATAAAATAAAATTTGAAAAAAATTTATCTGTTTGAAGTTTTGATTATAGAACAACTCTCAGTAAATTGATACAGATATTATCGAATGAAACAAACTTTGTAATTAATACACACTCATATTGTTTCGTATTATTTGATTTATGACACAAAAGTGAATTTTCAATATATTCGAATAAAAGAATTAAACTTGCAGCTTTATTCAAATAATTCGTTATGCAAAATTCAGGGCAGAAGAAACCTTAACAGATCAACCAGGATAACTCAAATACTTCATTTCATATGTCATCTAGTTTGTTTTCTACATTAGAAGTTAACGTTGCATTCCGTCAATCATTATCTTTATTCAATACTAATTGATGATTATTGGAAGAAACATGTTCGGCAATATTTTCAAATCAAAAAACATCTAAAATGCTGACTATACTTCAAACTTCTACATCATTTAAAAAAATCTTTGTACAATATAATTCAATAGAAAATATAAGGAAAGACATTGTTCATTTGTATTTTCTGGGTCAAAAATTACTTTCTATATAGAACAATAAACTAAAAAATCCTTACATGTATCTATAGTGAAGTTGGAAACCAGATATACTATTCTATTGGATTTTTACATTGAAAAACCAAAAAAGTTTTTTATTTGATAGCTGTAAAAAGTGCACTTTCGTCTGTTGAAAAAGTCTTTCTAAGTTTCTTCTTCTAGAAGCGCATATCATATAGATAAGTGATTGCTTACTATATTAGACTTGGCGTTGTTTTATAAGAATCTTTCTTAATGGACAAAAACTGACGTATATACATGTGGTACATAGTAGAACAACAGTTACACGCAA